ATTTAAGTACCTTATTGCTATTATAAGATAAAATAATATTTTAAATTTGCTAAGGAAGGCTGATAGCCTGTTCATTCCTTAGTCTTCATATAGCAATTCATTAAGCTGGAGTTGCGAACATAGTTTTGGTAGCATTTATGAATAGAGAGTCTGGTCCTGCACTGGGGAGCATTTACTTATTTTCACTTGTGCAACTTTCTGCTTGACGTGGGACTGCAGGAATGAAACCCTTATTTCTGAGGATTTTTAATTGTTTTATACAGTGAATTACTAAACACCCAGGATGCTGCCTCTAGAGACACTTAAAAAAAACTATCAAATTAAAAGTATGCAACTGATGCTGTTGATAGAATTGAGACACATTCAAGATTCAGGACTTTTTAAGAAATGGCTAGGTAGGTTTCTTTTACCAAGTTACCTTTTTTCAACAAAAAGGTGTTAGAGCAGTTTTTGTGCTAGCAATTGGTACATTATTCCTAGTTCCTTTCAGATGTGAAAATCCAGCTTCATGTGTTTTCATTTTTCATTTTTATTTTTTTTGGTTTAGTATTTTGTATTTTGTTGTTGTTATTGTTTTCCTGATACAAAGTGCAAAAGGTTTAATTTTGCATCGTGTTCTGACTTTTAGAAAGTACACTGTGTATGAAGGGAAATGTTTGGCATGAGAAACAGAAAATAGCTAAGGAGAGAGATTAAAGGCATGAGCAATATTATATTACAACATTTTCAGAGGATTCTGGACTAAAAGCAGTGCCTTCTAAACAATCACCACAGTTCTGTATACCTAATTATTTTCACATATTATTAATATACTATATGCTTGGCTTAGCAGTGTGGATGTAAAACATGTTTACCAGATGCAGTATCTTCTCTGGAACAGAATATTTCCTTGGAATATCACACTGTTTTTGACACCTCAGTTTTAACTTTTTCTATAACTTGATCTGAAAATGATGACCAGCTTGAAATCTATATAACTTGAAGGCTTTATCAGTAAAACCCAGCAGAGTTATATTTCTCTGTGGTTGTGGTGTTGAAACCTGGTGAAAAATCAATTTTTCCTTTCTCTGAGTGGTATATTTGAAGCATTAAAAAAGGTGAATGAGTGTGTTGATGGCCTGTCGTGCTCAAACTGCTTTCTTATGCAGCATGTGTGGGTACATCTGCCTGTTAGTCCTGAGAGGCTGTGTGTGTTTGATGCATTGGATGTTGTGTCTGCAGGATGGAGAAAAAGAAGAGTTGAGGTATATCAGAAGGAAAGTTGATAGCAAATGGTGTTTTGAACAGCCTGTATTCCCCAGTGTAATATATTATGGAAATAATGATTCTGACAAGTGATGCTTCTCTGTGATCTGAAGTGATACAGTAGGGATTAAACACTCTCAAGTCACTCAGGACAGGGTGCTTATCTGTCAAGAAGTGCTGTAAGAAGTAACTTTATAAAGAACAACTTCATTATTTGGGATTTTGTTTGGGGGGGTGTGGAGGGGTGGTGTGTTGTGTATGTGCCTGGGGGGGAGTGGTGTTTTGTTTTTATTGTTGTTTATATGTTGCTGTTGTTATTATTATTACTACTATTATTATACTTTTTGTTGTTGTTGTTTAGCTAGCAATGGAAACAAAAACAGTATTTTAAATTCTGGTTTAATACAGTTATCTTTCTTTTAGTGATTTAATACCATGTGTTATGTTGTTTTTAGGGATGAATTGTATGCTTTAACTCATTTTCAAGCCAGCTCAAACACAGTTGCTTCAAAACTATAAATAGGTTGTTAATTAATTAACATGGATGGGCAATGAGAAGTGGGCTAAAGGTTTAAAAGGAGGTCTCAGGAGCCAGAACAAATAAAGCATGAATACCAAACAGTCTGTAAGAAAGGGAATACAAAGGAAATTATTATACTAGAAAAAAGAACAAAATGCTTCTGAGTTGTTCACTCTCATTAAGTACAGATCAAGAAATGCAACCCAGAAGGCAGGATAAAGATAGCATATACAACTAGCCTCTCATGTCAATAAATTGGCTTATGTGGTTGCTCTGGTTTAGAGAGTTTTCCTTGCAGTAGCAGCAGGCTGGTGTACCTTGCCAGAGGAGGATGCTCTGCCTTCAGCTGATTCTCTCCTGACAAACATGGGCTCACAAAATAAGCTTAAGTAACTTACTGCACTTTAGGAATATTGCATGGTATGGGAGTTATGTAAAACAGAATTGCCCTCAGAGCTTCCAGCATACAGAGTCTGCAAGGCTGGACTTTCTCTTCTTCCTAATGTGGTTCTTCTACCAATGGAAGTAGCACAAAATTTTCAGATAGAGAGGAAATAAAGCCAAAACACACACAAAACAAACAAACAAGTGAACAAACTGCAGTCAGTTTCTAAGCTGACCATTCTTGAATGAAGATAATATTAATTGAAAGGAAATATATTAAAGAGTACATTGATTTAAGAATTTTGAATGCTATCTTGTGATGTTGATGAACCACTGAAGATTTTGTTTTGAATTGGAATTCCTTAAGAATGGAATATGCCTTTTTGTGATGTACTTTGTACAGATGTTAAGTAGGAATCTCACATTTCCCTGATTAAAATCTCCCCCCTTCTCTGTTCCTCCTTCTCTGCATTGCCATTTCTTCCCCACATACATAGAGTTAACTAAGGCCAGAGAAGGCAAGTTCATTTTGCTTCACTGCTTAAAAAAAAAGAATGCTATGACCAACGGATTGAAAAGATTTGATAAGCTGAAACAAAAGGCAGCAAATGTTGAGAACAAACTCCAGTGACCTAGGTAATATGAAATTGTTTCATGATAAGTATGAACACAACAATTTTGGACATCTAAAAATGTAAAATTAGCAATTTGAAGTAGTTTTTCTGAATGAGATAGAACATTATAAATGAAACATAATGACCTCTCTGAAATTCAGCCAGGGTGCTGTGCTACTCATTTAGACAATGAAGACAACTAGTTAATCACAGCAGAGAAAACTAGACAGAGTAAATTAGTTTGCTGCATTCCAGACTCTTAGCTACGAAAAAGAATATATTTCACTAATTAGAAAGTAAAAAAAAACTCTTTCAGATTTTAGAAAGAGCAAAATGAAGGGCAGGAGGTAGACTTGGGCTTTGGAGTGGTGTATCAATTTTTGCTGCTTGTTCAATTCAAATTTATTATATGATCTGTTAGGCAGCTTACATTAAGGGGTCTTAAACTTTGATTATATTGATTATATACAACATAATAATTCATAAAGAAAGTTATTATGCATGGGTTCAGTCCTTAGTTTTCATGGACTCTTGGAGCCTCTAATGAAATGTAAATAAGTTTAATTTAAAAACCACTTGAATATACATGTTATAATAAGAAAGGCTAGAAACTTCATAATTAAAATAAAAAGTTAACAATAAAATCTAACGTTTTTTATTGTCTTGATTGTGCTGTAGATATTTTATCATGATATTTTTATGCTTAATACTACAGGAGTCTGCATTCTAGATGTTTTATTTCTGTGTTTTTTAAATTAGAGGAAAGTGTATGATCTAAAGATATTAGAACGAAAATTATTCTAATTAGACTCAAAGAAGAAGGTAAAACAGAAAGTGAAGTTCACCTAGTTATTGCATGGGATAAGAATCCTGTTTTATTTGAAGAGTGTACAGCATTTTACATACTAAAGGATTTATATGCAGTTCTGAAATATGATAGTTCTTGGTTTTACCCAGAAAAAGATTTAAAATTCTCAGAATTTTTATTCAAAGAAACAAGTATAGAATCAGTACTAGATTATATACTTCAAATAGATACAAATCAATTAATCTCTAACTTTTATTTCCTTCCCTGTCTCTGAGTCTGCTCTCCAAATATGAACAAGTTCCTCTGGAAATAAATGCCATTTTGCTTTTAACTGCAGGGGGCTAAGGATCAGGTCCCCTCTTTATCTTTTGCACGAACAGTGTTACACCCCTCAATTATTTCCACTGGATTGAAAGATCAAATTATGTGTGTTTCCAATGCCATAGCTGTTTTTTAAAGACCCCATGGTTTTACAGTACTTTTGTGCTACATTCCTATTGGCACTATGTATGTTTGAGGAAAAGTGAGATGTTTGACTACCTTTGGCACTGCACATCAGCATAAAATCTGCAGTCTTTTTTGATTGATGCGAAATAAGCAGATGAAGCAAGTTTTTCAGTCTCACATTTTATTACATTAACTCTTAAACATTTTTACATGAGAGACAGTGTCTCTGTAATGCTTGTACATTGTTGGTTTGGTTTTCTTATATTAAAGGGTGCTTGTTTGTGGGTAACATTTATTAGGAAACCTTGTGTGTATGCATGCAAATGTGCATATATGTATATCTCTGCAGAGTGAGGTAGAGGAAAATAGTGTTCCCTCTATTTCATAAGATCTACTTCTTAAATTGTCTCACACTTTCAAAAAATGCCAAGACCAAATATGGAAACTTCAGCTCTGCAGAAAGAATGTCCTGGGAAGGTTTGAACTAATGAAAAAGAGGGGGTTTAGTCTCTTACCAAAGTTGTTTTCATCAGCAAGTCATGCTGTAATCAGGTAGTGCAACTGATTATTTTTCGAGAAGAATCAAAATCAGTTATATGTGATTTTGTTTCAAAAATCTACACATTTCAGAAGCACATGCAATAAATATTTAGACTCTTGATTTACTGCACATTGATCTAAAAATCTACATCGCTATCTCAGAATTTATTTGCTTGTTATTCCTATCATGAATTTCGGTTCTGCACTAACTTGAACAATACCACTTTTTGCTGTTTGCACTTTAATTCAATTCCATTCTAGGTTTATGAGCAGTAATAGGGTCTTGCTTGAATATTCATTAGCTTTGAATTGTGAGCTAAGAAAAGGTGTTTTCTTTTACCTTAATGAAAGTGGCTCAGCATGGGGTGGATCAGTAATGACATTTGATTTTAGGCATCCGACAAATTTGCTTTTTATTTATTGACACATCTTGTCCAAACAGCTCCCTCGCAAGTTAGCGGAGTAATGAAAGAGAGAGTGCTGCAGAGGAGTGTGGAGCTTTCCTGGCAGGAACCAGAACATCCCAATGGAGTCATTACTGAATATGAAATCAAGTATTATGAGAAAGTAAGTGCTAAGATTATCTGTATTGTACAACAGTGTGCTGTTTGTTTCGTGTTGGCTTGCTGTTTTGTGGAACAATGTTAAAGTCATCAGCTATCCTGTGTCTTCCGAGTCACAGTGATTTAGCTCATTTTTAATAACTAACAAATCCCTGCAATTATTATTGCTATCATATGTCTCAGGTTGTGTTTTGATATCCTAACTACAAAATATCCACTCGAAATATTATTTTTTTTCCCATTTTTTTTAAATTTATTGTTAAGTTATGGATAAATTACCATTATATTTTTCATTTTCCTGTATCTTCTATGTTGTGCATAAAGCTTGTTTTATTTCCTTCTGTGTCACTGTGATTCCAATCTTGAGATGATGTATCAAATGCAACTCTTGACTGCATTTTGTATTTCCTTCTGAGCTAGGCAGCTTTGACTTCATGCCTGAAAACTTCCAAAGCACTGCCTGCAGTTTCACCTGATAAACATTCCTTATTTGTCCTTTTAAAATGTCCCAGCATTGTGAGCTTTATTTTTCACTTGTTCTCCCAACACAATAATGAATCAAGGGCTGCTTTTCAATAGTAGATGAAGTGATCTCTGTTTCTGGTAAGAGTGAAATTGCAATTTTATTGATGTCAGTCGGAGTTTTTCCATTCATTTCAGTGTGTCTAGGACTTCATTCATGATAACTTTGAAGTACTCCAGAATAAAAAAAGTCTGACAAGCATATAAGTAGGGCCACATGCAACCATAAGCCCAGTGAAAGCAAACTGAAGGCAGGTTGTATAGATCCGTGTTTGCCATGGGACTCGGACTAAGTCTGGCTCCTCCAGATTCTCTGAGAAATTTACTGTAGCACATAACTTACTCCTAATTTTTATAAAACATTCTGGGAGAAAAAAAAAAGAAAAAATTAAAATACAAAGAGATTAACAAAGGAGCTCCTTTGTGATCACTTGTGAAGTTGTTTCATCCCTGCAAAAGAGGTAATAGTACCTCTCTATCAAAAAGAGCATGTCAGCTTGCTAGGTAACAGAATTGAGTAAATTCAGACCAGATTGGATCTAATATCAAGTGTCATATCTGATTTTCAGTGCTGAATTACACAAATATATTTATCAAAAGATCTTTATATCATTTGAGAAGGGAATAAAATGTTTATTTGTTGATGCTAACTTCTAGTTTAAGTTGTTCACTTTAATGACTCAATGCAAAATTTACCCGATGTGTGCAGAAAGCAAAACAAAAAGAGAATTTTAATTTTACCGGGTAATTTTTGTTCCTCAAACCTGTGTGTGTGTGTGCACACATATAAAGTGCATACATTTTAAAAAGTTTACATATTTACCAAAGGCAAAGCTGTTCTTCACACACACAAAAAATCCCAAACAACCACAAACTGAAAAAGCTTGGGCCTTCTAATATGCAGATTAATTTCTAATCTCTTACAGTAAAATAAATAATTTAAAGAGATAGTGGAAAATTAAAGTGCTGAACATACTAGAGTTTTCATAAAATGCTAACTTTCAGAATGTGGCTTTTATTATTTTCCCTGTATATTCATGTTCATACACATCAGCAGCAGGATTTCATTGCCAGTTTCCTATGTTTGCAGATACAAGAACTAATGTTAAACTTGTTTTATAATGGAAGGAAAACTTCCAGTATTTTACTTATTACAGTGAAATGAATTAAAGAGAAGCAGCAGCGCATCCTACAAACATTTCCAGATAAAGTGAACGATATACCTTTTTTTTGTGAGACAATTTCAACAGAAATACTTAATGCTTGCATTCCTTCCAAAATGATGCAGTTCAGCTTGAAAAATACTTCATAAACTTCTTACTCAGAATGAGAGAGGCAGTTGTTTTTTTTTCCATTAGTTTAAAAGAAATTTAAAAAAAATAAAATCTGAGCTTTCAGCTCCTTTTACAGCCAAATTAAATCAAACATTTTTGTGGTTCTGAAATATTCTGTTAAGTGTTTTTTTCACCCTTCACTTCTGGCTAGAGCTGTAGTGGAAACTGCCTGAAGTCTCCGAAATAACCCTGTCCTGTGAGATTTCTAGTGCAGCTTATTTTTGTTTCTTTGTTATCTCTTTATTTTGAATGCAAGAACTGTTGGCAGTTCAAATAAGGCTCATTTATGCATTAAACCCCAAGCTCTGACATTCCAGTGTTGTTTACAGTCCTGGATCTGACTGTTTACAGTTTTCTTACACTTGTTTCTCATCTCTCAAGCATTCCTGTTCTTTCTCACATACCAACATACATTCCACCATGATCCTCACTTACAGATTATTTAAATCCTCTTGGAAAAGTTATGAAAATTGTTGCTAGCCAAGTTGGTGGGGTTGCTCAAATGACAGCCTGGACAAGACCCAGAAGAAGCCATTACTGAATCTCAGAAAAGAAATCATATATGTTACTTTTAACTTTGTACTTCAGCAAAAGCCTTTGCTGCTTTACAGACTCCAAATGGGAAGGTTCTCTGCCATTTCTAGCTGGCAAAGTGCTATTGAAATGAGTTACAGGTTTATTCTTTCCCTCTGTATCCATCTCAATATCAATGCCCTGTACGGCTTATGCTTCTCTGGTCATTTGGTGTATTGAGATGGTTGGTTAATTCATCTCTTCTGCCCTTCAAATCAGGGTTGCATCTGCCACCGAAAATCAACAGGGCTGCACATATCTATGCTGAAAGATAATCTCGATCAATAAATGTGATGAATAAGTGGAGCTTTTTGTATACTGTAGAGATCTGTAATACAGGTCTTGTAGTATTTGAAAGTGAGTTATTAGTCATAGGGTTTGTAATCCTACAGCTTCAAATTCAGGGGGTGTCATAGTGAGCTTCTTTCTTGATGCCAATAAAGTCAAAACCTGAGAAAAGAGTATAGGTCAGAGAAAAAAAAATATGTGAAAACTGAGTAAGAATCTTAGAATTCAGTGCAAAATCCAGCCGGTTACACATTGGCAGTGTTGTATTTTTTAAAAGCATTGAGAGGTAACAAGGGAAGGTGTTCTTACTATGAAAGAACAGATGTCCCTGTCCTTTACTTGTTTAAACACCACAGATCCCTCTGGAAAGCTGTGGTCAAGCTATTTTCTCATGAAAATTTCACAAAATGGAATTGGAGCCAAGAAGCAATCATTTTAGGCCTGGATGTTTTATGAGTAACAACATGAGCATCCCATTTGAATTTTATGTTACACTTAGAGCTTCACATTGCTTTGACAGTGTTTTGTAATACTCCACAGAGTATGCTTTATTTTTTATGTTGGGAAAAAAAGCATTCAACAAATTGAAATAAACTACCCAGTCTGGCTGTCAGTTGCTGATGTGCAACCATGATAAAATGTGACCTGTAAATGTCATTTAATCTTTTGTCTTATTGTTTCCAGGATCAAAGGGAAAGGACCTACTCAACAGTGAAAACCAAGTCCACTTCAGCTTCTATTAATAACTTAAAGCCAGGAACAGTGTATGTTTTCCAGATCCGTGCTTTTACTGCTGCTGGTTATGGAAATTACAGCCCCAGACTGGATGTTGCTACACTAGAAGAAGCCACAGGTAAACAATTAGTTTCATGGGAAATGAACGCTTGCAGTAGTAGTAGCAAGTAAAGCAAGAAAGGAATAGAGCTACAAATTACAGCCTTAAAATTAGCCAGATTTGTAACATACCAGGTTCTTCTCATCTAATGTCCTTCTAACACAAAGAAGAAAATTTTTCACTGAAATATAAAACTCCATCCCTCCCACAAGAGGAGTAGTGGTGAGTAACAGTACTAGATTTCTCTGTAACCAGGGAAAGGAGGGAAGAGGAACTTTCAGCCCACAGAGGCATCCCCAGATCTTTTTTTCCTTGTTTGATTTTCTGAAAATGCTGTGTAGTTTAACTTATATGTGTGTGTCTTGTTTAAGCTGTGTCCCCATCCTTCATGCATTTTGAGTTCACAGGCCAGTTTCAACTTGGTTTAGTAAAGAAACAGAGGTCTCAAAGATACTAGGTTTCTTTAAGGTTCTCAAAACCCCTCTTAATGGAAACTATGAAGCTAAAGTACAAACTCTTTCAGTACAGTACACCGGGGAATCTGGCTGTGACATCTCAGCAGGAGAAAACATTTTGGGAGAGCTTGTACTTTCCTTGATGCTGAAACCAATCATGTGCCCTTATTTGTCTAAAAACCACACTGATAACTTTACCCACAAATCATGTAGATATCTGATGCATGCTTAAAGAAAATTTTCCACATTTTGAATCTCCAGAATGAAACTCTTCCGTCACTGAGACCTGGCAGCCGTGAGCCCATTCATGGGAGCTGCCTGTGTCCCTGCCAGCTTCATTTCTCTGTTGCAGATCCAAATTTGGTTACTCTGTTTTGGGTCATTTGCTTCAGGTCGACCTGCCTGCCAGCAGGTCAGCCAGATTTGGATCTGAGAACACATAACCTACAAAAGGCTCAAAAGGCATAGGTGCCAGCTCTGCTCTCTGCACTTTATGCAGTATGTCTAAGATGCAGACACACACTATTGCATTTTATTAACTGCAGACAGATGTTTGTGGGTATTCTTCAAACACAGTAGTTATGTCTTGATACCACTTTGGTTCTACGCAGAATTTGAAAGCTGTCAGTAATTAATACTAGTATATATTTAATAGACATAACTGAAATAGCAATTATCATAATAGCAGCAATAAACTGTAACTACTAATATTGTTAGCTCTTTGCCTGCTAGCATGCTTTCCTTCCATGGAGTTCTGCTTTAGAAATAGTCTGAAGCTTTAGAAATAATCTAGAAATAGTCTGTAGGATGGGAACCTGAGGTACAGGCAGAAGTAATTTCTTATTTTGAGTGGATTTCTGGAAAACAAATTAAAAGTCTGTCATAATCTGTAATCATTTTTTGCTAATTATCTAATTTATTATCCATAATGGTTTAAAAATAGTAGACCAAAATGTTTCCCCAACAATTCTTTAATTATGTGAATATTTTTTATATACTGAATGTAAGCATACTGGTAGCCACTAAGATTAGCAAAGATAATTTCAGAGGTAAACAATCTTGACTAGAATATGGTGAACATATGGAAGATTAGGAAATCCTAGAATAAATGCATCACTGCCCATGCTCATGTACCCTTTTTCTGACTCAGATGATTAAGAACTGCTTATAAACCAGAAACGTTCATGACTATTGTGCACAGCAGATTTTTCTTGTCACAGGACAGTTTTATGCTTTGACATGGCACATAAAATGTCCTCTCTTTCCATTAAAGAAACTTCTAAAAGTGGCTTCTTTCCATTATCTTTAGAGGACATTACTAAATTTAATTCCCATCAAGAATAAGCATCCACAATTTTCTGTATATGGTTTTCAGAAATAATTAAATTGTTGGCAAAAAGACAGTAAATTTCATTAAATTCTTCCAGAATTGTTTTACACAAAACTATTTCTTTCTCATAGATTTATCAGAACTCTCAGGCTAATCAAATTATTCCTTTGCTAACATTTCGAAGTAAGACCTTTATTGGCTCATTTATAAGAAATATACCTGTACAGGTGAGCAGGAAACCAGGGTTATGCTACAGTTAAGAGGCCTTGGCTTCTCACGCTTCCAGTAATTTCTGAATGCAGCTTTTAAAAAAGTAGAAGTATTTGAAGAATATGTGTATGTATATAGTGTGTGTGTGTGTATATGTATACTTACATGTATGTATGTATATGTAAGAATATGTATAATGATCATCAGTCAAGCAAGTCATTTTACCTACCTGAATTTCTCCTGGCTCTTTAACTGGTTGGCACCATTTGGTTGGCCCTGTTGATTAAGCAGATTTTTCTTAGAATGATAGAGTACCAAGTTGGAAGGGACCTCAAAGGTCATCTGGTCCAACCTTTCTTGGCAAAAAGACCATCTATACAAAATGGCCCTGCACCCTGTCCAGTCAAATCTTAAAATGTTGGGGAATCCACCACTTCCCCCTGTGAAGTTAAAAAACAATACGAATGATGAGATCTTCTTTACCTGCATTAGATGGAACGCAGAAAAATTGCAGTTTCTCTAGGAAATGAACTAGGGGAAGGGGAAAGGAAATTTCCTCTCAATGCATATTATTCGCTATCTGTGTAGATTAACAAGAGATACATTATTTTTGTGGGGAAGCAACTGGTACAGGTCAGTGAAAAATAAACCATGTTGATTGGCCCACTTCTCACAAGGCAGAGCAAAGAAAGGACTGGGTTGTTTGTTTCTATGGGAATCTCTAAGTGTGCAACAGGAACCCAATTCTTTGGAATTCATAAAATCCTCGTGTAGACATTTGTGTTCAGTCACCACTACCGGCATTCAAACATATTAACATACCATCTAAAATTTAATCAGCTATCAGTTGGGTTTCCCTTTTTTTTTTTTTTTTTTTCCCCCTCTTCTCTGTCTCTGCTGCTTCCAGATAACTCACACTTTCATAGTCCCTTGCTCAGCAGCACTGCCTGGTGTCTCCTCCTTTTTTTCTCAGTCCCTTGGGCTGGATCCTCACTGTTACAAATCAGCAGAGCTCCATGGAGTTCAGCAGTGTGCTCATCTAATTCAACTGAGTATACGGCCACTCTCATTAGGTGTCAGGCAACCAATGTATTTAACAAACCTGGAGGTTTCTCTGGCTAAATATTTACATCCGCAGTGTACATTAATGTGACGTGAATATATTTGCATACATTAATAGTATTGGCATATCTGAATAAAAAGAGCAATAATATGTGGATATTTTAGCATGTAAATGTAAATTCTCTGAAGCATGGAGAATTCCATTTTGTATATTTGGAAGCACCTTTTTGTTGCTAACAGAAACAAATTATAAGTAATAGCAATTTACAGTGATTAATAGCGGTAAGAGATAAAAATATGCTAACTAGGAAATTTGTGTTTATAGGTGGTGTTTAATCTCAAACATTCTTATAGTTAAGACACTACCTTCCTTGGGTACCATCAACTTCATGTCAAACAGTTTTAGGGGGAGAGGACAGGAACAGACTCTTCAGGGAATATTCTCTTACTGGCCTTCCTTACAGGGATATCCAGGTCTTTAGGAAGGAGTCAACCACTGGGGAGAACTGAAGGTGGCACAGCTATAGGAGGGAGTGGAAGTGGCTGATGGCTTGTACTTGGCTAATGTCTTGGCTAATGGCTGTACTGCTTTGACCAAGTCAATGCCAGCATAATCCCTTTCATTCCCTGCAGACAATCATTAACTGTTCCAGTATTTAGATGAATTTCCAATGGACGCCCATCTTTAGACTAACTTTATCAATTTTAGTCTGTAATTTATAAAGGTTTACCTAATTTTTGCAGTTCCTTTGTAGGGAGTAATTTTTAACTAATCTCTGCACTGTGCTCTGTTTGCAGCCACAGCCGTTTCCAGTGAACAGAATCCTGTTATTATCATAGCTGTGGTTGCTGTGGCAGGAACCATCATTCTGGTCTTCATGGTGTTTGGATTCATCATTGGGCGAAGGTATTGCACCTTGAATAGGCATAAGCGCATCTGACCTTACTCCTGTGAACTCTTGTGATATAGTCTACTCTGGGATGGTAATTTTAAAACTGAAACAGAAGTCATTTTTATCAAGGACAGTTTTTATTTAAATTATTTCATTAGTTATACGGTTTGTCCTCATACTTTAGAAAGACACATGTAAATCAAGATGTTCTTTTTGTCCTATGTAAATGTGCAGTAAAAGGAACCCCTAGCAGGTTCTTTACCTGTACTCCTCAAAGTCCCTTTTTCTGTTCAGTTTGCTTATGTGGAGAAGTCTCACACTTTATCTGATCAGCCTTTAAATGACTTTACATTCCAGAAAAAGAGGCACAGCAGTAAGCTAAAGAATACATTAATGTAAAACTGTGTTCTGCTTTCAAGTTCTTTAATCCTCTGTTTTATCCGTAGAAGCTTTTAGCCAGAACTAGAATTTTCTCTTTAGGACCTGCCCCAACTGGTATTTGATAAAAAAACCTTTTGATTGGATCTGTTCATGATTTATTTAAAATTCTGCTGTCAAGAGACTTATAGCTGAAACTTTCAAAGGGCCTACAGGAGTTAGGTGTCCAGTGCCTGAAAATCCCAGCCTGCAAAGCTAATGTTGTCAAGGCTTTAGATGTGGGGCTATAAATCATTATTTACCAGTAAAACTGCTGTCTTTCTTTTCAGGCATTGTGGCTATAGCAAAGCTGATCAAGAAGGGGATGAAGAACTTTACTTTCATTGTAAGTGTTTTGCTTTTTTTTCCTCTTTCGAAAATTCCCGACTGCAGTAGTGTAGACAATACTGAAAAAAAACACTTTATGAAAGACAAAGCCACAAGAAATTAAAAAATGCTGTGTAAATAGCAAGTGGGAAGTTAAACACTATAAAAATATGACCCACACAAAAAAAATGCAGATTAAAGTCAATATTACTCATGCAGATGGTTTTACTTCCATACATGTGTATGATATACTGTTGCTTTCATTCTGCTTTTTTTTTTAATTTTGGTTGCTTTGTATAAATTTTTCACCCTGTCCTAATGAGCCCTCTGAGGTGCAGTATTTGAGAGACCTGTGGCTAAGTGATTGTATGATCTTTACATCAGGCAAATTTCAGATTAGGAAAGTGTGGGTCACTGCATCAATCTGGTGAAGCTGTTCTTCCCAGTTGTTTTCTGCTACTGAAAATACTGTATCATCAATATTTACAAGACATAATGTCCGTAAAAAAAGAATATTTAATATGAAAAGGAAGGTCAGCTACTTCATTACTGTTCTCTGTTCTAGAATCACTTGCCTAGTGAAGAATAGCAACTAAAGCCTCTCCTTAAAATCACAGTTACTATCTGAATTTATGTTAGAACCCTGGGAAAACTAAATAAAATACATATTTCTTGGGTTACTGGAAACTGAAAAATTGAGGGAAGAGGAAGACTTATGCAAGAATAGTTCCAGTTTTATCAAAATATTGTTTAAAAAAGTTTATAATTTTAACCTGTTCTCATTTCAGTTGTAATATCATTTTAACATGAGAAATGAAAACTGTTTTCATTTCTTTTAGAGTCAGTCATTAAGTCAGTCTGAAATTGCAAATTCATATACTAGAATTAATCTGAATATAAATTCCGACACAGAACAATGCCCGGGTTTCCACGCTTCTCCGATATCTGATAACTCTCATATCAGTAGAACTTGCCATTTAGTCATGGTATATTGTGTATAGCCTTTGTTAGCTTGCCAATATTTGCAGCTGTAGCTTAAATACATCAGATGTATTTTTTTTAAAAGCAATACAGTTAATCTTAGTTTATATATGGTAAAATCATGATAATGTAATATCACATGGAGAATGAGGTAGTCACTAGTCACATATTTATAGCATCTTCTCAATGCACACATTTTCAAATGACTAGTTCTAGTGAAAGTTCCATAAAATCAGATCAAGGTTTCTGTTTTGCCTTTCTGCCCTGAAAAAATCAGATCAGCTGGCAATTGTTCATGCTCCTGGAATTTGGGTGTGTTGCTACCTAAATCCTAGAATCATAAAATTGTTTGATTGCAAAAGACCTTTAAGATCACCAAATCCAACTTTAAACCATGGACTGCCAAGTCCACCACTAAACTATGTCCCTAAGCAACCATATCTACATGTCTATTAAATATCTCCAGGGCAGTGATTCAGTCACTTTCCTGGGCAGCCTGTTCCAAAGCTTGACAACCCTTTCAGTGAAGACTTTTTTCCTAATATCCAATCTAAATCCCCCCTGGCACAGCTTTAGGCTATTTCCTCTTGTTCTATTACTTGTTAGTTGGGAGGAGAGACCAGTAAGTAAGTAGTGTCATAAATGCAGTTTTAGTCAGTCAATTAATGATCTGTGCAAGAAAGGTGGAAACTAATAATGGAATAAGAATTATTTATCATTCACCTTGCAGTGAAGCTGTTTTTTTAAGAATTCATAAAAATCTGATGTTTCTTAAATGTTATTATTCTGGGAGTGATGGATTTGAAGTTTACCTCTCTTAGATACATTATAAGCTTTTCACGTCTTCAGAAAAGCTACTGCTTTCAGTTTTAACATCCCCATTATGTCCTTGAAGGAACAGATCAATTATGTATTCTTGTATGTCAGTATATAAACAAAAGGAATATGCTAGCTAAATAATTTCTTTCCTCCTCTCCATTATCAGTGACATTTTTTTATTCAGTGACAGTGTAAATGAATTAATATGAAAGCTGTTACTTAATGATTAATAGATGATCCAGGAATGCTGGGACTTTATAACTGTTCATTTCCTTCATTTTACTTTCAAGATATCTGGTTCTCCAGCAAATCAGTCAGAACAGTTAACATACACAGTCTTTTTTAAATCATAGCATCAGATATAAGATACTTTTCTCTGAGCTAGTTTTTAATCATCTGTAGATTGAAGATTTAGTGTTTAATTTTATTTGATAACTATGTACAGAATGAGACTGAGCCCAGTGTTGAGGACAACAGCTTAGTTACAGAGCTGTGAACACCAGTTTGGTGTCCTTTTACTCCATAATACCTAGACAACCTTCCTCTGTGCTGAGGTACCAGATTTTCAAAAACGTAACTTAAAACATAGACACTTAACTTGAAAACTTACAAGTAACTATATTTTAAAACAGCCTTTATAACACTATATTTAATGGAGTATCATATATATAATATCAATCCCCATCAACTTTCTGTGACCTCAAGTGCTACACTTGAACATACAAGTACAATGGGGGAGTTTAGTCAAGCAATTCAGATTTATATTTGGGTTCCTCCTACCATTTTCTTCTAACAATATCTTCAAATTCAGGCCAGTATTATTTCATGTTGGCATGCCTGAATAGCCTTGGCCTGTCAAAATGTTTTATGACAGCTTGAATAAAGAACTATCAGAGGCCCACTTGAGATTCACAAGGTTACCTCCAGTCCAGGCCCCTTATCACAAACACAGGAGGATAGCTCCTTCTCGTCTCCCTGCCTGCAAGCACTATTGTAGGGGGTTAACTTACTGCTTTCTTCTATTTTTCTCTAGTAATTTTTCGGTTTAAATAACAACTGTAATTAAAAACATTTGTAGCATCATCAATACAATTGGAAGAATACCTATTTAAATTCATATTATGGCAGATAATAACATCTGGGCAACATTTCAAATAATTTCTCTCAATGAGAATTCATTAGATTACTCAAACAATTTCTCTAGCTTTCTCCATCTTATGATGGTTTGGGATATTTTTGGTCACTAATACCATCTAAAACATAAATACACATGATTACTAAGCTATTTTTAAAATATATTTTCAAATTTAAAATGTTTTCTGTTTAGTTAAAGATTGCAAAGCAACCATAAATTATTTATGTTTTGTATTGACCTCTGATACTATTCTTGTATATGAGTATATCAATTATCAGAGGAACATTCTTGCATTTTCATATTGAGTTTTAATTCACTGATTTAATTAAAGCTCAGGACTGTAATCCTTGTGAGCCAAATTTATTTCATAAAAAATGCTTGATTAATAGATTCCCAAGGTTGTTCTACTTTCACCAGAAGAGCAAGAAATAGTTTTCCTGAATCAGCAACAAACTAAGGGAAAAAAATAAATGCTGGCCATAGTGCTACGCTACCTGAGTTGCACTAAGTGCTATGCTGAGGAAAGAGGAGGCAAAAACCAAATTACTGTGTATTATACACTTAGGTGCTTGAGAGAGGGAATTATGTCACAATGTCCACTTTCCCTTCCTATGCCCTTTACAAGTTTAATAGAAGGGTTTCTCATGTTCATATTCTAATCTAAGAAACCTACCTAAGGACATCAATGCTAAGTGTTGTGAATAGTTTAGCTTGGCTATTGCTACAGTCTGTAGATAATACTATATTCAGTAAATAAAGTAAATTGAAGTAAGTGGAGGAGTCTTTCAAATCCTGCTAGAAAACAGAGGTAAAATAAATGAATGCTGTGTACACAACCTGGGAAAAGAGAAGAAGCTGTCCTTACAAGGAAAAGAAAGTTTCACCTCCTCCTCCACTGCTCTTATACTCCTTCTCCTGCTTTATTTTTGCTCCCACTCAACCCTTGCATTTTATTCCATTGAGCACTGTTTAATATTTATTACTTCTTTCACTTCAAGGTGGAAATGCAGACGCTAATGTTAGTCATTTTTAGAGATGGGGTTGTATACTTGTGTCAGCATGCTTGCAGATGATGCCTAAAGCTGAAGTTGCCTCTCATAGCAGCTCTTACCCAGGCAGTGTGGATGCAGGTTCACTCTTCCAAGGAGCACTCTGCATAATGAAATTCCTGGGCTGACTGCACAATAAGTGCCTTTGCTTCATCACAGTCATGCTTTCTTACATCATTACAGTTAAATTTCCAGGCACCAAAACCTACATTGACCCTGAAACCTACGAGGACCCAAATAGAGCTGTCCATCAATTCGCCAAGGAGCTAGATGCCTCTTGTATTAAAATTGAGCGTGTGATTGGTGCAGGTAAGGCTGCTGTGGCTTCCTGATTCAACTGTTCCATTTAGCTGGGATCGAAACTCATACATCATAATGACAGGCAAATAATTATACCTCAAGTACAGAAGAACTTTTGGCGTTTGCCAGAGTGGTTAAAAGCAATGAAGCTGCACTTGCTTCTAAAATGTAAAAATAAATGGGGAAAAAAACACAACTAAAAACACATAAATAAGCAAATTAAGTGTTTTGCTTGACATTGAAAGCTTGTGGGTTTCTAATTCTGTATCTGCTGTTCAACATGTAACTGGGGGAGGACGGGACAGTTTTTCTGCCTATTTTTTACTGTCAGGAGTAAAGGCATTAGGCATGAGTGCAAATTCTGCTCCCTTTCCTTTTGCAAGAGGGCTTTTTGACCTCTGAATTTTTGTTCATGTGAGTAAGAAAAACTGTCTGCAGCACCAAATCTTAAATAGAGACTAGGAAGATCTTGTTTCTATATAAGAAAATCTTCCCTAAGGCTGTTTTTTGTTCTTCCTTTTTCCTTTTTGATATTTCATGAATACAGAAAGTTATTGTTTAACTTCTCTTGACTGACTGTAATTGCACTAGCATTACATTGCTTTTCTTCCTCTTGAACTGTCTACCACCTACTTAAGCCATGGAGTTCATGCTCTAAAAAGGCAGTTTCATTTGTTTGCATTAATAAGATATGTGACATTTTTATTGCACTACTCCGTGTAGTGAAACTAAGTTTCTGTGGGTAAGAAAAATATCAAATGCCTTGGATTCCTGGAGGAAATGTTCTTTTGCTTTCCTGTTGTTTTATAAAAGTGTTAGTAGAATACTTTTAAAATCACCTTGTAGTTTGGCATGCACTGTAAATTACATTTTGTGCTGTTATTTAAAAAGGCTTAAATATTATATTATTTAAAAATAAGAAATATCTTTAAAATATGATGGTTTACATGTAAAAAAATCTTTACACTTAGAATTCGCAATGTATCTTTAAAGTAAGCTCACTCATGTTGAATCATGTCTTAATCAAGGAGTAGTACTGTTGAAATTAATAACACTGCTGAGCAAATTATTCCTCCCAATGAGTAAGAGCAAAAGAATCCAGGCCTTGCTAACTAGTAATTTTTGTAATGTTAGAATGGCAGCATCTGTTCTAATAAACACACAATATACAAGATTTAAATTCGAGATTAGCATAGAAAAATTACAGAGCCTTATCTTTTGCTTTGAGTTACAAAACTATCAGCACAGCAACAGCACAGAGCACAAAGTTATGTTCAGTTGGACTTTGCCTGTGCCTTCATGACAAAATGCTTAAAACACTTCAGTTGCAAAGAGTATAAAGCTAAAAATGTATTTTATCTGTTCTGACAGAGTAATTCCAGAATGTTAATTTTGTTGACTGCAGGTGAATTAATTCTTGATTTTAATGAGTATAACTTATAGCAGAAAAACTAACGTGTGTCAGTAGTCATTCTGAAGAAAGCTAATTAGAAGTGCTGTGGTAAAAGCATATTGTATATGGGGTTTAGCTGTGGCTTTAACCTGTTGGTGTAGATAGCAAACAGGAGTTAAATTAAATGCAGTCCAGAAAGAAGAGAATGTTAAAAGACCCAAAGAAGCAGCTGAAAAGGCACTTAGCAGTCTCAATATGCATCAGCATTGCCAGCCATGTCAACGATTGAGTTGTGCCATGTCTCTCTCAGACAAACAGGGTGCAAGTATGCTTGTGCTCAATTTGCATGAGGGATATGTGCTTTCCTTGCCAGCATTTTCATTGCCATCCCACTGTGGCCACCTGTCAGATACAGAATATGGTGGCCATGATGTTGACTCCTTGTTCGTACCACACATCCTTTGTTACAGCCTCTTCCTTGTTGACATGCTGAGCTAGTGGCTGTGTGGCTGTGCAGTATTCTCACTCTTGTTGACATATTTTCTGTATCCTTTTTGGGAATAATTTCTGCTGAAAATACTATTTTCTTGGGAATAAAAGTTCATTGGCTAGCATCCTGGCCTGAAATGTATAACATACAAGTTCAAGTTTTTGGTTTGCCTGAGTGTCAGTGATCTCCTTTTGGAAATGAGTCAAAATCAGATCACAGAGAGCTGGAAAGGAGTTAAACCTTAGTGTCTTCCATGCCAAGTGTCCTAATTACCTGGCTCTGAATTATCATATACACAGACACACACTTATGGTCTTGTTTTCAGCATGGAAAAAAAATAAATTTGGAAAGTACTGCTAGAGAAAAATTTATCCTTTTGAAAGTTCTTGTGGCTAGGAGCTGTGAGTGAGTTGAGTGATGACTCCATTAGTAGTCATCCACACTGGTAAGCAAGGGCAGGAGTGAGGTTAAGGTGCCATGCTAAGGGTGTGAGCAGCTAGTTGCTACATATATATCAGCTATGCTTTGTGGTATTCATAGCTATGAGGTGGATATTCAGACCATGACGCCAATGTCCAAGCAAGGATGGTTGAGGCAAATGCCTCACCTGTGCAGGTAGCAACAGTTTTACTCTGTCTGGCCAATTAGTTCAGACACAGCATGGTGCTAACAGAGGTGTGTGGAGTTGATTTGAGCTAACCTTAATTCACCTAGTGTAGAGCAGAGGGAGAGGAATTTGATTTTGTATGCAGTCATCTCCTATGAGATTTGTAAAACCAGCCATGCTGAGTGGAGATTTGCCCAAACAAGTCAGTAGGAAATACTAAGGTTTGGCCAAAGTTCTGCCCTTCTGGTTGGAGAACAGTGAAGCTAAGGCCTTTTTTTCTTCATTGAGTTCTGTTGTTGGGGGTGACAGGAAAACAGTAGTCTTGGAACAGTGATGGTGTCCTAAGCAGAATTCATCCATCCACTTCAGCATCTACCTCTTCAGGCATTCAGCATCTCTCTCTTCCAGGCATACCTCTCTCTCTCCATTGCCAGCCAGATGCCTTGCCAGCCTATATGTGCCTTTAAGTGCTGATCCTATCAGGTTTCTGAGAACCTCAGCCTGTGTCAAAAAGCGATTCTCTAATCAAAGTCTCTTGTGTTTTTTCTAATTAAATAATTTCTTTTCAGCCCTCACCCTATAATATCTTGGATATAGGCATGTCTTCATACTTGTGTATACTCAGTAGCTTAATGTTAAAGCACTCCATAGGTATGCAGGAGATAAATTTTTGACTTGCTTTATTTTGGAGGAGAGATTTGGATCTATATCTCATATACTCCAGATAAATCTGCAAAGTACCATATTATAAAATATTGTTGCGACGAATCTTTCTCTTTTTGAAGAGTTATTCAGTATAAGATATGTTACTAGCCTTTTCTTCTATATATCCCAAGGGACTTTTCTTCCTGGGTACAGAAAAGGAGGTCTCTCTTTCTCTCTTTGTTGACACGGCTGTGAGGCAAGGGATGATCCTTAAATCTTTCCCAATCTCAGTAATAGTGCCATTCAGCTTCACATCTCACATGCTTCAATTCTCTTTGCTGTCCAGTGGAGTCCAATTACTTGTCTTCCTAATCATGGTTGTTCAGATGGGGTTTTTTTGTATTCTTGTTGGCTGTTTGGCCATTTTTTTCACATCCTTCTTCAAGTTCCAATTGTTGGTTAGTTTCAAAGCCTTAAACATTTTACAAACTTCCAGCATTTGCTTGTATTTGTTTAATGTAACAAAATTACCATAAGTCACACCTCTCATTTCATAATCTGCAAAGTAAATTATCCTGCTTGAAGGTAATAATGTAGTGCTTCATTTAACACCATAACGATGTTAAATTAAAAGCGGCTTTGAAAGAGCTGTTTTTTGAAGGAAAAAAACCAACACTGAATCTAAAGATAGCAAGGAAGCCATGTAGAACAAAATTACATTTTCACTTGGAAATGGTGTTACCATTTCTGTAATAGTATATTCTTAGCAAAGCCACTTCATTTTTATTTCCTTTTTTTGAAAAAAATAACAGATTACTAACAGGTATTTTAAAATATTCAAATCATAATCCTCTAGATTGGCTTTATGTGGTGTTCACTCCATTACTTAGTCAGCAATTCATTTAAAGCACGTGCCTGTGTGTTCCTAAGTAATCTGTTTCAAATATGAACATTCACTTCTTAAATGTAAACACACACTCAAGCAGCTAGTTGAATCAAGGCCTAAAAAGGATATCAGTACTATAGTTGGAGTAATTCAGCATTGATCTACTTCATTGTAGGAGAGTTTGGTGAAGTGTGCAGTGGACGTCTGAAACTTCCTGGCAAGAGAGATGTTGCAGTAGCCATAAAAACTCTGAAGGTTGGCTACACTGAAAAGCAAAGGAGAGATTTCCTGTGTGAAGCAAGTATAATGGGACAATTCGACCACCCCAACGTTGTTCACTTAGAAGGAGTCGTTACCAGAGGTAAGCAGTGGCTCCACCTGTCAGTCAAATAACAACATAATGGCAGAAATTACTTCAGCTTATTCATGCTCAAAGTTTCAAATTATAAAAAGGCTGCACACTCCTAATGCATTTTCTCCTGTTGCGTAACTAACTTAAACAATACTTACTTTATGCTACAACCTGAGGAAAAAAATTAGGATGTATGCATGATTAAAAGATAAAGCACTTTGAAATACATTCCTTTTCTAGTTTCTTTTAGCCTCAAAGACCATGGAGAGAGATAAGGTTTCTTATGTCCTTTCATGTTATCTGAAGTGCCATTATTCCAGAATCCTGTTCACACAGCAGGGGTTAGGAGAACACACTGACATTTTGATTTGTATGGTTTAATTTTGTGAATTATGACCATGTACCATGCAGACATTTAAGAACTTGTTAGAGCTCAGTAATAGTGCTGGAAGCCTCCAAAATGTTTGTTGTCTCAATGATTCAGCGCTTCAAATAATAACATGTTTTTATCAAAAAAAGCCACTCCAGTTGTGTTACAGTTTCTCAAACAAAATATGTCTTTTTTTCTTTCAGGGAAACCAGTCATGATTGTAATAGAATACATGGAGAATGGGGCCTTAGATGCATTTCTTAGGGTGAGTAGCCAAGTGAAAACATACATAAAAATATTTTAAGTGGCATATATTATATATTGTCACTTTTAAAACTGTGGTTTCATGTAAGTGCATATATATTTGCGTACATGCATGATATTCATATGATTAAAATGGTTTTCAGGCTGAAATGAACCTTGACAAATACTAGCAGTTCTTTCAGGAAAACCAGATCAGAAATGAGAGGTTCAGACAGGATCACATGGAAATATTCTAGGACTTTAGATGATTTGATGTGGCATACACATGGTGGCTTTGATTATTGCCATCACCTGCAGTTAAATCTACTGGTACTTGAAGCCTAATCTTCTGCCTTTTGGGACCAGAATTTTATTGTGACAGCAGGGTAGAAATCAGTGTACGAGAATCCCTAAATGAACTATGGTCACGTTTAAGAGAAGAACGAAGGTAAAAGAAATGCAAGTTCTCAACAATTTAGCATTTTTTGAGTGTGTGTTCAGAACTGATTAGTTCTGACTCCTTCCCAAGTGTACGGGACAGTGAGAGGTGATATGTGAACACTCTATAGAGAGCAGACAGATTATATTTGTTTGATAATCTCCAAGTTATGAATAAAATTATCAGTAGCTAGGGTTCCAAAAGGAGATAGTTCTTATTTTCTTGATACAAATAATTATGCTGACAGACAAAGAGGATAGAGGCAAACTATGAAGAGCTGTGCATCAGGTAATGTTTTTAGAAGAGACTTGACAAGATTGAGCCAGGAATTTTTACTGATTAGCAAGTTTTGTTACTACTCATGCAACTAGATCTACTGCTTTATCTCTCAAGAAAATAGAACTTGTGTTTGAACTGAGTTTCTTTGTCCAAGGATGAATTGCCACAGAAGTACTAAACACATAGAAAGCTAAAGTTGTAAAACTAATTCTTGTTTCTCTTCTCAGCTATACTAATAAGAATTGCTGCTCCTTTCTTCCCTTCAGAAACATGATGGCCAATTTACAGTCATTCAACTAGTGGGAATGTTGAGAGGAATTGCTGCCGGAATGAGATATTTGGCCGATATGGGATACGTACACAGGGATCTTGCAGCACGCAATATTCTTGTCAACAGCAACCTTGTTTGTAAAGTGTCAGACTTTGGCCTTTCCAGAGTTATAGAAGATGATCCAGAGGCTGTCTACACTACTACTGTAAGAGAAATCAATGGGGTTTAGTAGTTTTGAGATGTGGTTATTAAGAAGAAGCCTATCTTCTAGAGAGTATAGATAAGAGAAATGCATTAATTACTCAAGATGTGTAAACAAGTCATGAGGAGAAGAATCTCTGCAGAAATCTGGCTCTACTTAGGGATTCATACATTTCTATTTGGTAAAATTCTCTTAATTTTGCACAGTATCTTTATTATTCCCTTTCTCATGATTTTCTGTTTGAACAAATGCAGAAGTTTTACCCATAAAAATTTTAATCATCTCATTTACTGTGAGTCAATTAAAATATTTGTAGGCTATTACTATGTTTCAGACTAGATTTTATCTCCCCAAAAAGTTGACTAGCTTGAGGCTAGACCGTGACAAAGCTCACCTCCAGTATTTTCCTTGCTTTTGGGTGGGACGTTTTTCTTAAATAAGCATTCATCAGGCACACTATGCTCTTTATTCTTATGTTGAGCCAGCTACACTTTCCCACCCATGGGGCCTCTCTGCACCTATTTTCTCATGCTGAGGGAAGGAGGGGCCCCTGGAATCTGCTCCAACAGGCGCAGGGATCCAGGAAACTGCACTGGGGTTCATGGTTGTCACTCCTGATGCTGGCTCTAACTGGGATCTGGGTTTGAAAATGTCAGACCAAGATTTCACAGAAGCTGTATGACAACTCAGCAGGATTTATGTGCACTGGGTGAGATTTCCCTCTTGTAGCTTCACCCAGACAGGACTTAAATGACTAGTGTAAATCAGACATCTAAGCAGCCCCTTAAAATTGATGGAGAGATAAGCACTTCCAGAGAAATGCATCCAACTTAGCTTAGACAGGTGTCTAAGTTTCTGTGGTCGAAGTGTTTTAAGAGCCTGAACTTCCTTAGATTGCTTTAAAAAATCTGCAGTTGGTCAACTATGGTAGATTATGCTTTCAGTGTTGATGAAAATAGTGACAAATACACTCCAAGGAAGATGGTATGGAAATTTTGTGAAAAGAAGAAAGCTCTATTTCATTCTTTTTTTTCTTTTTTTTGACAGGGTGGAAAAATTCCAGTGAGGTGGACAGCTCCAGAGGCTATCCAGTACCGCAAATTTACGTCAGCCAGTGATGTGTGGAGTTACGGAATAGTTATGTGGGAAGTAATGTCTTATGGAGAACGGCCTTACTGGGACATGTCAAATCAAGATGTAGGTTGTACTTTGTCTGTTTGTGGGCATATGTGTGTATGTGTGTTAGAAAAAAAAAAATTACATGTTGTATACATATCCATATGAGCTCACTACACATACATAACATGTTGGTTTAGAAATAAGATTTATCAAAATATTGTATCATAGACTCTCAGAATAATAGAAAGTGTGGAGTTGGAAGGGATCTTTAAAGGTCAGCTAGTCCAGCCCCCCCTGCAGTGCACAGGGACGCTTCTGACTAGATCAGGTTGCTCAGAGCCTCATCAAGCCTGGCCTTGAATGTTTCCAGGGATGGGGCCTCCACCACATCTCTGGGCAGCCAGTTCCAGTGCTTCACCATCCTCACTGTGAAGAACTTCTTCCTAATGTCTAATCTAAATCTACCCTGCTCTAGTTTAAGACCATTGCCTCTTGTCCTATTGCTGCACATCCTTATAACCAGTCCCTCCCCAGCTTTCCTGTAGCACCTTCAGGCACTGGAAGGCCTTTTTAAGGTCTCCCTGGAGCTTTCTCCCCTCCAGGCTGAACAGCTCTCCCAGCCTGTCTTTGTAGGAGAGCTGCTTCAGCCCTCTGATCATTTTTGTGGCCCTTCTCTGGACTTGTTCAAACAGGTCCATATCCCTCTTGTCTTGAGGACTCCAAAACTGGACACAGTACTCCAGGTGGAGTCTTACAAGAGCAGATTAGAGGAGCAGAATCACCTCCCTTGACCTATTGGTCACACTTGATGCAGCCCAGGATGCAGTTGGCCCTCAGGGCAGTGAGTGCACATTGTTTGCTAACGTCCAACTTTTCATCCACTAGTACCTCCAAGTCCCTTTCTGCAGGGCTGCTCTCTATCACATCATCCCCCAGCCTGTGTTGATAACAGGGATTGCTCTTATCCAGGTGCAGGGCCCTGCACTGTAAGGTACCTACAAAACGAAAGTTACAGAGCTTTAACTTTTTACCTAAATCTCTAAATGATTCTTCAGCCATGTGGATGTTACAGGTTTCTGTCCCAAGTATGAAGTGAAATTAGATCATCAATAGTAGGAACATGTGCTCATCACTTTATTATGCTTGAGCATAGAAAAAAAATATTTTTTTCACAATAAAAAATAATTCAGAGGTTTCTGACCTCAGAGCAAAGATCAATCAATGAAAAAAAGTTGTTAAAATCTGAGTGGCAGTTAATGACCTACTTTGCCTTTTCAAGTTAATTATGCTGATTTAACAATGCTCTTGTTTGCATAAAAGATGACCCAGAGCAACAGGTCAGCAGTAATAGAACAGATGGGTGTTAATCTTGATTTCTGACAAGAGTATCTCTTAATACAGAAAGTACAAAAGAAATATTCCTGCAGGTGAAAAAGATGTCAGAAAGAGTCTCATTTAAAGTTCTTAAGGTCAGGGGCTTAGATGTTTGGGGTTTTTTTTATTTTATTTTTTGATTGAATGATCGACATCAAACTTGGAAAAAAAAAGATAAAAGTGTAAATGATGAGTCAGTTTGGCACAGTGCAAAGTTGTTAATATTTGACAGGTCTCAGTGTCAAAGATTTCATGGACTGTCAAAATATGGGCAAACAAGTCCTTGGGGCAGAGAAAGAGAAATATTTACATTCCCTTGACACCCAGTAGAGTTTCATTTCTTTTGACACCTTCCTTCTGTACTAGATTCAAACATAAAAGAAGTCTGACAGGAATGTAAGATGCCTCAAAGGCAAACCTTACCTATCTTTCAGGGATAGGGAAAACTTTAAAATAAGGGAGAAATTTTGGTATCTTCGTGATCCTTGTTGGCTTTTGAAAAGTATTCCCTCTACTGAAACCTGCAAGTAGCGTGCATGGCTGAACCTTCTTATAAAGCAACTAATTACCACTTCTTGCAGTTTTATCTCTTTTTAGCATCTTACATATTAATCATCAATAGGACATAGATAAAAGATGCATCAATTGCTTGGTAAGGTAATTTCAAATATTCTTGTATGCTGTGATCTTCAAGCATATCCTGAAACATACTTCCCAAAACATACACACATCTTGCTAATCCTGTAGCTAAATCTATGATGCAAAATTTCAAATAATCTTATGATGATTTATCCTCCCTCACACTTAAAAATGAGAGTATTTAACTGGAATAAAAAATGCTCAATGTGTCTCTTCTGATTTTGCAAATGTACTCAGGCAGTTTATGTCTCAAGTGTATAATTTTGCCTAAAAGGAGATGTGGATGAAGCCAGACCAGATCTCCTAAAAAATGTCTCCCTGACTTTGCATCTTTCGTAGACATTTCTTTAATTCTGCCCCTCATTCTTCAAATCATTGTTTTAGATTGATGGAGGATACAAATTTGTGTTGTGATCTAAGTAGAAGTCCTCCTTTTAGCAGCGACTTGGAGCTAGGGTGCACCAAAATACTCATCCAACAAGCTCCCCTCAGAGGCACAGCAGGCTGAGCACACATGATCCACAGAGACCCCTCACCTTCAATGAGCAGTAGACTCCCCTCTGCTTAATCCTTACTGATAACAGTACCCCTGAAACTGGGGCACTTTACCCTATTCCCCTGCTGGTGTTTTCTAGTTCTTGCTCTCGTTCACTTACTGAACCTAGTGCAGATTAGTTCTTCAGTAAAGGGCCTAGATATTTTGTCTTTGCTGTAGTCATAGATTCATTACCCTTATTATTAATTTGTATTTTTATTATATACCCAGAAGCATAGTGATAACATTACATTGTCCAGTTACCTGTATGTTTATTTTTTCTTCTTGGCAACACGTATACACAGTGAACAGACCTGGTCCTCTTGTAATCTACTTCACATCCTCAGAAAACCTGATTATGTTAAAAGCATACTTGACTCTTAACAGTATTCCCCTTTTCCCTTTTTGCAGCAAAAGCAGAATTTGAGAAACAAATTATGAGAAGTGTAAACAATACAAGTCAATTCTATTAGTAAGAACTCCAGCTGTGCTCTCTTTGTAGCTTTGCTTATTTTACAAAAATAATTTCCAGCATGTGTTTCATTACCTCTGTGTACTGATTTTTGGAACCCCACCTTTCTAAGCAGAGTAGACACTGGTAGTACCCTTCAAAGTACCTAAGTTTTGTCTAGACTTTTTTTTTTTTTTTTTAAGACACATTCCTTATCAATATTTTAGAATTTTTTCTCAATATTTTGGGTATCCCCAGCAACTGTCCATCTCTAGCTAACTCATTATTTTGTATTTCCCTGTTTCACCTTTCTTGCTCAGAATACGCATCAAAGCAGCTGATTCTGCTGTATCCCCAAAGCCTTTTAAAAATAGCATCATCATCTTGATGCCCACCTCTCTTCAGGTTTCTCTGCAGACGGTAATGGACATGGAAGAGTGCTACTCATGATCCCTTCCTTCATGTTTTTTTTACGATCCCTTTCACTCTTGACTATAGTCTTATCTAGATAGTTTGCCAGTTATAAGGGTCTTAGATATTTTGTTGGTTGTGTCACTGTTGCTGTTACCTACTTTTTCTTTCTTCGTTGGTTGTCTCTGTATTCTCACCTCTTAAGCAAATGCTTTGTTCATAGTAAGTCATATGTAGTAAGCACAAAGGGTTTGATATTTTTCCCTTTTAGAATGTCAGAAATTTCTGCATTACTTTCCATAGCACATTGTAGCTTATTTACATATACACACTCTATATATAAAGCTTATTTTTCACTTTTATTCCACTGCTACTTCTAAGGATAAGGAGCTATTATTTTGTTTTCCCTCTTAATATTGATCAAAAAGATCCTATATTTAACTTCTAATGTTTTGTTTTCTAGATAGTACTGTTCTTCCAATTCTTCTGCAGAAATTCTCCCTTCCCACCCTGCCTGACAAATAACTCCACTGTCTCTAAAAGGTTGCCACACTCATTCTTCAAGGTGCGATGCTACTACAGGAATTGAATATTTCTCAGTCATTTTTGAGTTGTAGGAGAATACTGTCATTCTAAATGTTCAGGTAGAAAGCTGAGGCCCAGGGAGATGAGGCAACTTCCCTGAGGTCAGAAGGGCCCTGCCACTGGGCTATGCCTCCTCTTTTCACAAAGCTTCTTTCTGCAAAAGGTTTTGATGCAATCATGGATTTTAGCCAGCTTTTTGAAAGTGATTTTGTATTCTTTGCATTTCTGTCTGCTTTGGAGGTCACTGCTTTTGCATTTTCTCACATAACCTATGGAATATTTTCTATCTGAGGTTATTATTTTCACTAGACTCTGGTATTCCTCAGCTTTATTTATCATAACAGATCTACTTCCTAGGGTTAAGTCCAGCACAGCTTCTGATCTTGCTTTCTGTACAAACCGAGAGAGAAGACAGTCCTATGCACTACCCTTCAGGAAAAAGCACCCTTTCTTAGCAATTCTAATACTGCTATGTCAGTCAATGTCAGTATACTTTAAATCCCCCATGAACAGTGTTTTAGCCCTTTTTCAGGAGCCTTTCTTATCTGCCTTGCTTCCTGATGTGCTTTCTTATCCTGCCCTCAAGGTTTACAGCAGTTTCCTGTCATTTTAGTTTACCCATTTTTATTTTTTACTTAAATCCAAATGGACTTGGCTAAGGTAGTCAATGGGTGGGTGTAATTCTTGGTTAAAACATTTATTCTCTCCTTAAATCGTATCATCATCTAGCAGCATCTCTTATTAAATCTAACTTTCTATTTAGGTGATATATTAAAATACCATTCAGTCTGGTCTTACTCATGTGGCACATTTCTGCTCCTTTATCATTAATGTAACGTGGCTAGACATAGAATACAACTTTTTTCCCCAACAATTTATAGCTACTAAACATTTTTCTTGGATCCTTTTATAATATCTTTAGGCTTTTTGTATTTTATATGTGCATCCACAGATCCCTATCCATTTACAAGTCAGTTGCTTCTACCACACACTCTT